AAACAAGCTTCCACATCCGATATATCCGATATGCCATAAACATGATCACAAGATGGAAGCAAATGTATCCCTTTGGAGTGTCGATGGTATATGCAATATGTAAAAACATGCTACATTTACCCATCAAAAAGAATCCAGCTGATGTGAGAAAAAAATGCTATATAGCCAATCAGAATCGAGAAAATTTGCAAAACTCAGATTTCAATAATTTTTCAAAGATACTTACGACCTCAAAAGTAAAMTAAAAACAGGGGGTCACCACGCTGATAAACTGGCAATAAGAAGTTAGAGTGTTTGGGGAAAAATCGTTTTTACACAACGAGTTAGAGCTAAATCCATGAAATCTTTGGTTCAACTATGGAAGAGGTTTCAAATTTTCATAATAATAGTAAGAAAATTCAAAAACATTTAAATACAACTGAAATACAATCAAAAGCAAGAAGTGAAATGGATGTGCAGTAKCAAGGGTCGCAAACTACCTTAATCAATTTTTTTTATCTCTGTTAAGCCACGCAACGTTTGAGATCGATGTGCTATGTGCACGACAAAACTGAAGGTAAATAGAAATATAGAGTAAAGGCGGTAAACGGCTTCGGCCGGCCATTCCGAACTGTAACGAAAGTTTGTTACGAGAAAAGCATTTTGTTAGACTTACCAGTAACTGAGACGAGGCCTCCCAGTATTCCTACTATCAAATGACAAACATCTACTTTTCTGTTGTAGTAAATATAACTATAATATAAGAGGGAAAATCTTTCAGTCAACAGACCAAAATCATGGTAAATATATAGCTATATAGCTATATATAGCTATATTACGTATATTCTTCGATTGCACGTTACGTCATCGCAGCCTCTCGAAGAAGTGTTGGTGCCATTTAACAAAAAAATTCCCATTAGCATCCATTGTTAATGACTGCTTGCAACTCATTAAATATTCAGGAAATAACACCTCTGGGAAATCCATAATTTCTCGGATCGACAAGTGGCAAATTTATTTACCTGTAAAAGAAGGCAAAAATACCACCACCAATGGACGAGTTCAGGGTGTTTACTGCAGATCTGTACAARCAACGTGCAAATAGTAGGTTTAGTGAAAATGAAATCAACTCAGTGAAAAAGTTTCCAAAAGGACTTTTATTCGCGTATAAAGTGTTACCTTGCTGCTAGCTGCCATTTGCCACCAGTAATACCAAACGTACTACCACAGTTGAAGCCAAGCCATCCCCACCACAACACGAAAAGACCAAGAATAGCTGTAACAGGAGATCCCATCATCTGGGGCTTGTTGCTACTGAAACGACCCAGACGTGGCTTGAGGAGAATTGTTGCTACAAGGCCTGTCACACCTCCCACTAGTAATCAAAAACATACAGAAGGGTTTAGTAAACGCACGGAACTGAATATGATTTCAGTTTCGAGTTCTCTCTTAATCAGCCTTAGCCTCGATATAAAAGTATATCAGCTTTTCACCCAAAACCCGTGGAATTTGRATCCACTCGTGTTGTTTCGTTGAAAGAAATAAACACATTTGTACACCGCCATTGAGMCTAAGGTTGAGCAAAGGTTCGCTCGAAATGGGAGTATTGTTATTTCACTATGACGGCCGTCACGGCTAGCTTGTTTATAAGCTTGTTCRTAATTTGGACTAAATTTTATCCTGTAGCTGAGTTGATAGATCTGATATGTCTGGTTTTCAAACGTATTTGGTGGCTATTATTGCTTTTCTAAGTTCTAAAAAATACGAATTTCGCAGTTTCTCTGAGTTTGACTAATTCCCCCTTCTACGACCATAATTCTTTCATCGTGTGAGTTCAACGGGTCCTACGAGTTTGTTT